TGGATGGATGGATGGATGGTTGGATGGATGGTTGGGTGGGTGGATGGATGGATGGATGGATGGATGGTTGCATCTCTTACACCTTGCCATCCTTCCTCCAGCATGCTGAATTGTAGGCTCACATCAAAGGATCCCAGAGTAGTTACTCCAAAGTGACATATTGTATGCATCAGGATGGCCTACATTTCTTGGGCACTTTGACTCAAACTAGGGTCCAAGACAGCTGCTATCTCTTAAAGTCGATCCTCTTCTGGCAAGAAAGCTGCATCAAGCAAGAACTCTATTACTAGAAATTGCCAGGGCTGAAGGCTCATGTTTGGCAGCCTCCAGCAGCAGGAAGGCGGAGAGGCCGCTGTTCTGACATCCTTAGGCCACTAGAGGGCAGGGCAGAGCAGCAGCAGGAGCTCGGAGGCGGGTAGCTCAGCACTTCAGCAGCCGGGGCGAGGTGGGTAGGTCCTAATAAAACAAGCACAGAATAAAGTATCCAGCGGGGAAAGTTCCTTTGGAAATTTACTAGGAGAAGAGTGGAAACGAAAGGTAAAAGGTGAGATTTGCTTCAAACAACTTTGAGTAATGAGGCTTTCTTGCAGTAACCAGGACAGCAGACTCCGTTAGAGATACGGAGAGAAGGGAATTTGGAGGTTCTTTGAAAAAGCGGTTTACCTGAGTAGAGACATGGCACGTGTCCGTTTCACGGATCGAAAGCTAGCTGCCCCGGGGGCTGCGGTGGCTTTTCCAGACGCCCTGAAACACTTCCCATAACAGCACACGTGCGCGGATTTCCTGCGGCAAACTCAAGAGGGAACGGTGGAGACCCGGGTTTTTCCCAGGAGGACCAGCCCAGGAACCCAACCACAGGTGGGCTACACAGACAGGGGACCAGCAGAGACAGAGCAGCGTTCAGCCCTCAGCGTTCAACCCTCAGCGTTTCATCTTGGATGGAAAGAAAGTACTTTCAGGGAAGGCTTCCTGCGATCACATATTTTATATTCCTATTTTGTAATGCCAGAGCTTCTCCCAGCCTTTACTGAACCTTTTCCCCCTGAGCATGGAGCTTTTATAAGAGAGAATGACAGGCAAGAAAAAAGTGGGTCCTGACTCCCAAAGAGTTTCGCCAGTGTCCTGGAGAAGCTGGGAAGTGTTTCAGTCAGGGTGGCCTGCCCCAGGTCCAGGAGGGGTTACTTACTAATGTGTGGGAAAGGTGTAGGGGCCCCACGAGAGACAGCCCAGAAAGTAACACAGACAGAGCATTAGCAGCAGGGTGCAGGGAGGGAGTGGAGATGAGGATGCTGATGGAGAGAGTCATGGAGAGGCCACCTTGGGAAGAATGGCGACATGGGTTGCAGCCAGCTTCAGGTGATTCTGGGACTAGAGCCATGCCGAGCGCTTGGGCTTCTCTGTGACGCTGGAGACATCCTAACTGGGTACACAGTGTTCTGCCAAACAAGAAGAAACGCTTCTTGTAAAAAAGAAGATTCAGATACAAACGAAGAAGATTTAGTCATGACTGAAGTGCACAGGTTAAGTAACTGCTTCGTGGTGGTCCAGAAAATGATCTTGGTCACTAAATCAGGATGCCAAGTCTGGGAGGACTTACTGCTAAAGACCCACATGGCTTTCCTAGAAGGGAAGATGAAGGCTAATGTGGAAAATGGAGGCTTCCTGCGCACCTACATTTTTAAAAAACTACAATTTCTGAAGGATTACTATGTGATCACAGCACTAATTACATTATATACATAATCTCATTGATGCTCACAACAATCCCGTAATCTAGGTGCTGTTTGTTCCATTTTGGCTCAGGTCAATTTACTTTCCCAAGGACACATAACTCGTAAATTCTATAGCTTGAAATCAAATATAGGAAGGTTTACCTCCAAAACCGAGACCTTTTTTTTTGGCCACGAAAGTCATCTAAAAACTTACCTGAAAATGCTAGTTCCCTCTGAGGTTTTCAGGCTAGGCCAAAATACCATTGTGTAAGGGTCCTAAAGTTTTTATTCTCTTTTATTGTAAAGTCATGATTCATACAGTTAGACCTTCTCAGTGGCAAATTGTTTCTTATATACTATTAAATGAAAAAAGAAAAAACAAGGTGCAGAACAACATAATGGCTTTTGTGCAAAAATGTGTATGAATGCAAATAGATACCTATTTTAGGATATATGCTTTTTTGAGGTATCATTGACATATAGCATTATATTAGTTTCAGGCATACAAAATAATGATTTGATATTTGCATATATTGTGAAATGGTCACCATGATAAGTCTAGTTACTATCCATCACCACACAGTTATAAAAAAATTATTTCTTGTGATGAGGACTTTTAAGATCTACTTTCTTAGCAACTTTCAAATATGCAGTACAGTATTGTTAATCAGAGTCGCTATGCTCTACTAGGATATCTGCTTTTTTATCATGAAATATTGGAGATAAAAAGAGGGTGAAGTATAGGAGAATCTTTTCACCTTTCATTTTGTACAGTTCTGTACAGATTATAAGAGAGTTAAGTGAATGGAGATGTCATGGTACATATTTTGGTTTGTTTTTATGCCTCCTTGGACTGAAAAATTGAATTGATATTCATTGCTTTCACAGCTATCTTTTAGAAGTCACTCCTGAAAGGTTTTTCTACAAATTGCTTTTTCAGTAGCTATCTTAAGAAAAGGTAAAGAGGGTGAAAAAGATTTCATGATGAAGTTTCCCTCTCTCAGGATTCTGATAAAGAGTGTCATTTAAATTAATAATTCTGTATATCATCCTCCACCTGAAAAGTCACTGAGTGCCTCCAGACTACCCCAAACAAAGATTTTGTACTTGAACCAAAGCCATATGTATTTAGAGCCCAAATCATCTTGCTTTGAAAAGTCAGAAGAATGACTAATTATAGTACTGAGAGACAGTAAGACCCTGGCACACTTTGTGGATTTGGTAACTTTCTACCCTTTGTACATGCAAAAGGAAGAGAGACTTCTTGATCCTATGTTCTTAAAAAATGGCTTTGCCGCTTTATAAAAGTGTTTCACCTAAATACTCTTCAACTGAATTTGCGTTGGAATTTAGAAAATTTGAAGATAGAGTACTTCACATAAGAAAAATAATACGTTTTCTTGATTTAAAAAAAGTACAGGGGTGCCTGGGTTGCTCAGTCATTGGGCATCTGCCTTCAGCTCAGGTCATGATCCCAGGGTCCTGGGATGGAGCCCCGCATCGGGCTCCCTGCTCCGCAGGAAGCCTGCTTCTCCCTCTCCCACTCCCCCTGCTTGTGTTCTCTCTCTCACTGTCTCTCTCTGTCAAATAAATAAATAAAATCTTAAAAAAAAAAAAAAAGTACAGAACTCTCACTATTCAGTAAGGAGACATTTTACTAAACCACCCCAGAAAATAAGTTTCACTTGTTGGTAGTCCTACTGCATATGCTGAATACTTTTTAAAAAATTTATCTATTTGTTTGAGAGAGAGAGAGAGAGAGTTGGGGGAGGGGCAGAGGGAGAGAATCTCAAGCCCATTCTCTGCTGAGTGTGGAGCCCAACGGGGGGGGGCTTGATCTCAGGACCCTGGGATCATGACGTGAGCCAAAAGCAAGATGGCTTAATGGACTGAGCCACCCAGGCTGAATACTTTTCTAATAGCTATTCTGAATATGATGTTTGAAACCTTATCAGCCAGAGTATATAATTTATAAGACTCCCCTTGAGGCAGAAGTGGAGCTCAGATGTTGGGCTGTTAAGCAAACAAAGAACGAACACGGATTCCACAAATGTGTACTATACTTCCTAAGGAAGCGAAGTTTGGCCTGAGTCCTACAGGATGAGGAGCAGTTAACAAGGCGAAGGAGGGAGAGAGTGGGAAGTGATGCAGAGTGTCATGCCTGAAGTTTCCAGTCAGAAGGGAATATAGCAGTTACACCAGAAATTGGAAGAAGACCGTGGAGCGCAGATTGCTAGAGGGACGGGTGACTCCTAAAGACTATTAGCGCAAGGCATTGTAGAACATGCAGAATATTTTGGCATCTATCCAGAAGCTGATGGGAAATTATTGGAAGGTTGTTAGTGTGTGTGGGAAGGTTCTAAATGAATTGTCAAAAAAGTCAGTTGCCTGATCTCGTTCCTTTGGAAGTAATCCTCTTTTCATCATGGCTGTTGTGTCATACATTTTTATTATGACATGTGTGGTATGGATTACTGTCCTTCACCAACTGTGGAAAATTCTCAGCTGTCGGCTCCTTAAGTGTTTCCTCTTCCCCATTCTAACTTTCTCCTCTTCATCGAGAGCTCTAATTGGACCTGTTAGATCTACCTACTCTGTCCTACTCGTTTCTTAACCTCTCGGTCAGGTTTTTCCATCTCTTTTTCTCTCTGTGCTGCATTTTGCAAAATTTCTTTGGAACATTCTTTGTTCTTTGTTCTCTGCAAAAATTCTTTGGAACATTACATTCCTTCCAGTTCACCTCCCTTCCTTCCTTCCTTCTTTCCTTTTCAATTCTAGATGTCCTACTTACTTTTTAAAAATTTACTTGTTCATCCTTTTGGGGCGCCTGGGTGGCTCAGTTGTTAAGCGTCTGCCTTCGGCTCAGGTCATGGTCCCAGCGTCCTGGGATTGAGCCCCACGTCGGGCTCTCTGCTCAGTGGGAAGCCTGCTTCTCCCTCTCCCACTCCCCCTGCTTGTGTTCCCTCTCTAGCTCTGTCTCTCTCTGTCAAATAAATAAAATCTTAAAAAAAAAATTTACTTGTTCATCCTTTTAATTATCCTGTTCACTGCTCATATTATCTAGCTTTTCCTCAAATTTTTATTAGAACTTTTTATTTTGTGGTAATTGTAGATTCTCATGTAGTTATGAGGAATAATACAGGGAAATCCCATGAATTATTTACCCAGTTTCCTCCAATGGTAACATCTTGCAAAACTGTAGTGGAGTGTCACCCCAGGACCTTAATTAAAAAAAAACACAAACATACTATATTGCTTTTTAATATTCTATGTCTGATAAGGCCAACAATAGGAAAGTCTTTGTAAGTTTTTTTTGTTTACAATTTTCTTTTTTTTTTTGAAGATTGTATTTATTTATTTTAGAGAGATTGGGAGAGAGAGAGTGCACATGAATGGTGGGGAGGGACAGAGGCAGAGAATCTCAAGCAGACTCCCCACTGAGCGTGGAGCCCGTCACCAGTCTTGATCTCAAGATCCTGAGATCATGACTTGAGCTGAAACCAAGAGTCAGAGGCTTAACTGACCGAGCCACCCAGGTGCCCCCTGGTCTTTTTTTTTTTTTTTTTTTTTACAATTTTCTTATTTCTGTTGGTTCTTGTTCATGGTGGCTTGCTTCCTTGTGTAGTATATGATTTGTGACGATGAACTGTTTTTACCTTGTTCTGTAAGTAGGGGGATTGATGTTAGCCCTTGAATTGAAGTTGGATTCCATCAGACAGGACTTGTCTTGGATTCTGGCCAGCTCCTTGGGGCACTACCAACCCAAGTCTCCTTTACACTAAATTCCTGGCTGGAGGTATTTTGGAATGACCCAGACAGTATGAATTTCAGCTGCAAACCCCCATGAAGGCTGTGTGGTGGCTGTTTAGAAATGAGGTCTGCTGGAGATGGTGGGAGTTGGGCTCCCGTGTAGTTCACACCACAAGGGGTTGCATAGGGCAGTGAGTTCAGAAGAGCCCCTTACTGGGTTTAATGCTCTGCTATTACTGTCTTAAAATTCTTAATAATTTTGAATGAGGTGCCCTGCATTTTCATTTTGCACCAAGCCCCATAAATTATGAAGCTGGTCATGGAAGGGGTTTGGCTCTTTACAGAACCCAGCTTTATAGGCTGATATCTCCTATTTTATGGGGCTTTTTTTTTTTTCTTGTACTCTGTAACTGGCAAGTCCCTTAAACCTCAAAACTCATATTTACTGGTTTGGGAAGAGCAGCTTCTGTGTTCTTCTCACTTCATGTTCCTATTATAGCTTTTGTCCTGAATACACTTTACTTTTTTTCCAGGTCATCAATGCTTTTGAGAAGATTATTTAAAATATGTATTTTTTCATTTCAGTGGGAGATTGAAATCAGGTACTTAGTCTCAAATGCTGCTGGAGCAGAAGCCTGGGCAGTGCCCCAGTGCTGACCCCATTTCCCCTTGGAAAAGTCCCCCCAGGTGCACTCCTCTGCTCATAGAATTGCCAGCCTCCTTCCAGATCATGCTCCATCCCTTCCTCTTTCAAACTCCACATCTGGGCAATCCTAATTTGATCTGTGGGGGCCAGCACCAACTATTTATTCTCCTATATGTTGGTTAAGGCACAGACCCCATCCCCTGATTCCTTTGGGGTTTAGCTCTTTTGATTCTCAGTAAGCCTTTCTTCTCTCAAAAGTCTCTGGTTTTGCAAATCCAAAGCTCTTTAAAAAATCTGTGTTGTGAAAATTTTAAATATGTTTAGAACTTGAAAAGAGATAAACACTGTTTTCGTTTTTTTTTTTTTTCTCTTTGCTTTCCTGCTGTAACAATCCTGATCCTTCCTTGGGGAAAGGCCCTCTGAGTCAGTGAGAGTGCTGAGTGTGGAGCGCAAGGGAACAACAAAGCACACCTTGCTCTCAGACTCCAGATCCACACGCGGCTTGAGTGTTGGGGGTCTCTGAGACCAGTTCCCCAGCTGGACTTCCTAGTTATAGGAGCAAATAAATTCAGATTTGGGACGTAAGAAGTTTGAGTTGAATTTCTTACCTTACAAATGAAAGACTCTCAGCTAATCCAGTGGTTAACCAGATGTTGGACAGCTCTGAACCCCTTTCTCGAGAAGTTAAGAGTGGGGTCCCAGTGAGCTCCAGTGTCTATTTATGTGGTGGAAAATAGCAACAAGCAAAGCCAATTTGGGATAAAGTGTGATTTTAGGTTTAGCTTTCATTTCAAAAGAGAGGAAATGTCCAAAGGTCGAGCACTAGATATACAAGTCAGTGGTACTTCCTGGAACAAATATGGTCCACCAGTTGGTGGCAGCCTAGCTCTACATCAGGTACTTCAGGCTATTTGTGGGCTGCACCTAGTGATGGCTGAGATCTCTGGGAACCAGTAAGAGTTCTTTAAGATGGGATGGGCTGTACTTCTCATTCCTGCTTTCAACTTGGATAAGCTATGTTTATCCATTTTATTAGAAGCACTATCTTAAATAAAAGTTAAAGGAAAAAGCATCAGCAAAGCATTGCTTTTTTTTTTTTTTTTGTCTTAAAATCCATGTAAACGCTCTGAGAATATTTTCTCAATGCTCAGAGCCCTGTTGTTCCACCAGAATTCATTCTCTCTTCCTTTTTCTTTAGCAGACTTGGGACAAAAATTCATCTAAAAAATTTCTGTCCTGACTTTCTGGATAGCCAACACAAGTCCTTCCGTTTTTTTCAAGATTTGCTTTCCTTTCATTTCTATTATCTGCTCTAGAGTGAGATCTGCTTCCAGATTTTGAAGGGTCCTTCTCATCCTTTGGGTGTTCTGGTGGTTGCTTTGCACCCCTCAAGATAATCTCCTCCTTGGAAACATAGGTTCCATGGCTCCACCTTCCTCATTTCCCTCAGAGGCACATTTCCTTTTAGTGTTGAATACAGACTCAGCGTGAGAAACAAGCATCCTAAAAGATACCGTAATAGAGAAACATTTGCCATCGTGACCTGCCACCAGGAGGAGTATCTCAGACGCTGGCTAATGGCTGCGTCAGGCCAGGCACCTTGAGGTCATGCTTGGTCCTTAAGGGACTGCCAGGGTACAGGAGAAAGTCACCATGGCCCCTGCACCACCCTCTGTGGGCGCTGCTCCAAGGCCACACACAGGGAGGGTGAAAGCACTTTTACAATCAGAAACATTATTTTTGAGGCTAAAAAAACATCAGTACAGTAGTCCTCCCTTAACCAAGACCCCCAGGTGCCTAAAACTGCAAAAGTACTGAACTCTATAGAGACTGTTTTTTCCTATACATACGTCCATATGATAAAGCTTAATTTATAAATTAGGCACAGTGAGAGATTAATAATAATTTATAATAAAACAGGACAAATATAACAATATACTCTAATAAAAGTCAGGTGAATGTGGTCTCTCTCTCTCTCTCTCTCTCAAAATACCCTACTGTCTTGTACTTACCCTTCTTTTTTTTTTAAGATTTTATTTTTAAGTAATCTCTACAACCAATGTGGGGCTCGAACTTAAAATCCTGAGATCAAGAGTCTCATGCTCCCCTGACTAAGCCAGCCAGGCGCCTGCCCCTCACCCTTCTTTTCATGATGATGTAAGAGGATAACATGCCTACATGAGATTAAGTGACGGGAATGACGTGGGCACTATGACGTAGCGTTAGGATACTCTTGACCTCCTGACAAAACGTCCGAAGGAGGGTCACCTACTCCTGGACCACGGTTGACTGTGGGTGACTGAAACCGCAGAAGGCAAAACCATGGGTAAAGGGGGACTACTGTATACATTTCTTACGATTACTGATGAATTATATTTATTTCTGCCATCTTCTTTGGTGATCTCTTTGCTATGTTTTTCATGTTTCTTTTTTTTTCTCCTGATGTGTTTCAGATTATTTTTTCACTCTATTTGTACATTACACACTCTACTTTTATTCTTTTAGTGGTTACCTTTAAAATTGTATATAATTTAACAAAGCTCCAAGTAAAATAAAATGCAGATTCTGCTTCCAAAAATATAGGAATCTTAAAATTGTATACCTCTAATCACTCCCTCTTAGTTGACCTACTATTGTTGTCCAGTATTTTGGCTCTATCTTCTTAATTGGAAAATTGTTATTTTTAAATGGGATACTAAAAATATGTAACATCTCTTTAAGTGTGTATTTCATGGATAGTTATTCTGTGTTCTATATCTGCTAATTCCAATATCTGAAATCTTACTGGGGTCTAGAACTGTTTTTTTGTTTGTTTGTTTTGTTTTTTGGGTTCTGGTGAGTCTCACTCATGGTATAATATTTCCTAAAGCATCTGGTAATTGTTTATTATAAGCTCAGGTTTGAATAACCCGTGGGAGCTTGATGAGGGTATTTCTCTCTGGAGAGGACGTGTATATGTACCAGGACCGACACTAACCTGGGGTCACTTCATTTCTGGGTTTGGGGTGTCCCTGACTGAGCAGGTAGTGTGGATTGGAATCCCAGATCCTCGAAAGGGCAGGCCTCTGATTACAGATCCTTAGAGAAGAAATTGTTATTGTCATTTTTTTTCCCCGTCAGCAGTTTTTTTTGTTTGTCTGTTTTTGGTGGTGCCTTTTGCTGTGAGGCAGATTTTTTCCCAGCCTGCCGTCTCATTCCACTGAGTATCTTTAGGTATCTTGGCTGTACGGGGGGCAGGGAGAATCTTGGGTTTAGCCCTGCTTCTGTGGTTTCTGCTTTTTATGTTTATTTATTTTTTTAAGATTTATTTATTTATTTTAGAGGTGGGGGAGGGGCAGAGGGAGAGAGAATCTCAAGCAGACTCCGCACTGAGTGGGGAGCCCGACATGGGGCTTGATCCCACAACCCTGAGATCATGACCTGAGCTGAAACCAAGAGTCAGACGCTTCACCGACTGCACCACCCAGGTGCCCCTCTGGTTTTTTATTTTTAAGATTTTTGTCCTTTGGGCTTGCCTTCAGATCTTAGAAGTTCAGCAAGGCACAGAAAGGTGTACTTGCTGGAATTTATCCTTCACATGGACGGTTTGAATGGGATAGCATTTCAGAACATGGCCCTCTCCTCTCTCTCCTAGCTTCTCCAGCCTGCTCTACACTCCCCTGTCCCCTGGGAGGGCTTTGGACCTGGAAGCCAACCCTAAGAGGCTGCATCAGTTCACTGAGAACCATTTGGACCACAGCGACCTTGAAATAACCACAGAGCCAAAGCCAAGATGATAAGGAACACTGAAAAACAAAGAGAGAAAAAAAAAAGAGCAAGAAATCTCTAACCTAAAGGGCCAGTGCTCCTCTGAGAAAAGTAAGAATGAAATTGTTATGGAAGCTGGACTGGATCTCCTAAGGGAAGAACCAAGCGGCACCTGGAGATCTTGGAGGTTAGGAGGTTTATTTAACACTGGCGGGCTCAGAGGAGAGTGGTCTCTCCAAAGTTCTGAGCCTCAAGCACAAACAAAGGGGGTAATTTATACACTTCTACTTCCGCATACTGGGCACTTTTGGCGCGTGCGCGAAGCGGGGCAGGAAGAAGAACCCGGAAGAGCCCTGGGCCAGGGACTGGCTCGCTGGCTCGGTCGGCCATCTTAGGACACAGATTTCCCTTATCAAAATGACACTTCAGGGGTGCCTGGATGGCTCAGTTCGTTAGGTGGCTGCCTTTGGCTTGGTCATGATCCTGGGGTCCTGGGATCGAGCCCCGCATTGGGCTCCTTGCTCGGTGGAGCTTCTCCCTCTCCCTCTGCCTGCCTCACTGCCTACTTGTGCTCTCTATCTCTCTGTCAAATAAATAAATAAAATCTTTAAAAAAAAAATGACTCTTCAAAACATTTCAAAGATAATCTCATAGATCATATCACAGCATCACCTTACAGCACATAATCAAGAACATTACATTAGCCACATTATGGGTTTTGTTTTTTTCCCCCACTGTATCAGGTAGAAGCAAAGATCAGAATCAGATGAAACACTCACTCACCTGGGTTAGTTGAAGAAACAGCAGAAATTGCTAGAAGGCTTCAGCATAGCCACAGGACTCCAGTACCGGAGTCTGGAGTAAGCCTTCCCCACAAAATCCACATCAACACATCAGCCCCATCCTTCTAAAACCTTCGTTTCTCCATCCTCAAGGAGCATATGAATCATCGCTGCCTCTGATCGATGACAGGATGGCCAACACGCACCTGATATTTTCTGCTAAAACAAATTGTTGCCAATGAGTTGTTATGGCTTTCACAACAGTTTGCTTCCTAAAAACTTTAACCATTGTTCCTATTCTAATTTTCAGGTTTACAAAGTAGAAAGACGATCATACAATGGCAGTCACGTTTTACTGTGATCATATAGTATTGACCTTCTTCTAAGAGACGGCAGTTCTGGGGTCAAATGGCATTACTTCAGGTCCAAACAAATAGGCCCTATGGGACTTTCAGGATAATAAATGAAAGCCTATATAGGAGGAATTTATTCTGAAAGATAATTACCCTTGTCTAAAAGTCCTCTGTCTTAAGATTAATGAAATTAATGAAACGAAAAGCAACCACTATTTTCAATGAAGCTTTCACTGAAAATAACCAGTCAAATAAGAATCATGTGTCACTTCCATAGCATGTGAAGATTGCAAATGACATTATATAATTTTTTAAAATAATGAGTCATAAAGTGGTCTCTCTTACATGAGCTGTGCAACGTCCTGAACACTTCTGCTGACACTCAGAAATAGTCTACAATGCCTCGCTCCTCAGGATCACTGGCATCAGAAGAGAATGAGCCCCTCTGACCGTGGGCCTAGTCCAGAGTCAGCAAGACACCAGAGAGGTAACCAATGCCTGGCTGTCGGCCTCAGAAAGCCAGATGGTTCCGGCCATGCCCTGAGATTGGCACACTGACTCAGACAAGCGCAAAAGGTGTTCTCAGTCACAGAGAGACCTCAAGGTATACACAGGCTCCTAGGGAGGCAAGCATATACCTTCACAGAGTCAGTCTCCTTAGGATATATCTGGGCTTTGGGGGATATCTAGGAACAACTGAAGCCCAACTTAGAGCCTGAACCCAAACCAAAACTAGTGTTTTTCTACACACACACACACACACACACACACACACTCCCAGGCGTGTTAAAGTTCCAATTCCAGTGCTGTTATTTTATGTTTGCCTCTCCACCATCTTTCTCTGCCTCCTCTGTGTCTCCAGAAGCTGAACTTTAGATTGCCTCAGCAGGGTTCCCTGCCCTTTGGCTTCTTGGTTGGTGTGGCCAGTGGAAACACCTGCAGGATATCGGAAATCAGAAAGAGAAAGAGGAAGAGATATTTATTCTCTCTACTTCTTTCCTGTATTGCCATGGCTCTTCATTCTGTGGTCATAGCTCTGGGCAGGCGATCTGCCTTCTGAGGTTCCCAGCTCTGTCTAGACTCGATAACACAGTTATCTCCCTTTGCCCCTTCAGGACAAGAAATATAAAGGCTTTTCTCTTGCTAGCCCCTGGTGCTTCACGTCCTTCATAGTTCCCTTAATTCTGTCCACCCTCCCCACCAAACATTTCTTAGTTAAATCCTGTGAGGGTGTTGGCTTTCCCTGTTGGTATCCTAACTGATACATGTGCCTTCCCAAAGATTTGTATGGACTCCAGAAAGTCTTATGGTCACATGTTCACTGGTGCCCAGGCATTTCTGCTTCTTTGCTTTATAGATCTAAACAAGAAATAACTTCTTTACTGGTTTCTAAACAAAGCAAAATTTAGAACATAACAAGTCATTCATGAGTATAGTAGAGTTTACTGGAAAGTTGGGGGCAATGGGAAGTAGTCCTATCACACGCTATTCAGTTAATAAGTTAAAAATCCACATTAGTCACATGTAGCCAAGTGTTTTAGACCATAGACTCTGGAGTCAACTCTATTGACCAAAAGCCATCTCTACCACTTTATAGCTGCTGTGTGTTCTTGGGTAAGTTACCTAATTTCTCTGGACTCCAATCAATTTCTTCCTCCCTTCCTTCCTTCTTTCCTTCCCCCTCTTTTGTAAATCGGGGTGATCATAGCTCCTACCTCCTAGGGTTGTGAGGATCAAACAAGTTAGTATATACAAAATTCTTAGACACCTGGCCATAGACATTCCCCAGATTCCTTCTCAGCTGTGTTTCTTGGTTTCTCTCAGACTTTTATCAACTTGTACCCTCCTTTTTCCAACTTCCCATTCCCTGCTCCTTCCTTTTGCTTGTTTTCTCCAGGGCCACCCCAAGGGTTGTGGGGATGGAGGGGACAACATTTTTTTGCCAGGGCCTTGTCGGTATAAACAATTTGAGTCACTCAAAATCAGCGTGTCAGCCCCACGCTGGCTGCCCAATCTCATGCAGTTCCATGTGAGAAATACTGAGCGAGATAGTGGAGATGATCCACTTGCCAAACCTCCCTTCTGGAACTGGGGTCCAGCATCAGGGCCTCCAGAAGACCCCATAGGTACAAAGTCTCCCGTGCTCCTCAGGGCATCTAGTCAACCACATGTGGGGCGTGGGGGGGCAGATAGAGGATCAGAGATTGCCCCAAAAAGGAAGAAAAGGGGCCAAAGCCCATTGGGAACCTAGGGCTCTATACAAGTCCTAGTCTGGGCTCAGGACACCCCACCAAGAAAATTCTGCCAACCCCACCAATCCCAGGCACTAGGGGATGACTTAGATGATTTTGAGGAAGTCAGCAGAGATTGGGGCCTCCTGAGGTGCTGGCCTGGTCTTCTCCTTAGTTCCTTCCTCCTGGCTGCCCCAGGGGGTCTTCTGCCTCTATAAGGCAAAGTAATAGAACATTCCACAGTCTCACTCACAGGCTTCCTTCACCTCACCAATCAATGTGCTCTGTGGATGAAGAGGACTTCCAGCTCACAGGACCTAATCTCCCTACAAAGCACTTATAGTGATAAACCTTTGGTAATGACAAATAAGGAAAAATAAGAAGAGAAAAATTACCCCTGATTCTACTTCTATTACCAACCAAGACTGCCTGGCCACATTTAGACATGACAACTTAAACAAACAGATCTAAAGTGCAGATACAGAAATGTGTTTGTAGTACATAAGACAGGACGCCCAGTGAAATTTGAATGTCAGATCAACAATGAATCATTTTTTAGTATGTTTGTTATATGCAGTATCTGAGACATATTTACATTAAAAAAAAATTCTTGTTGATCTGAAACTCACATTTAACAGGGCACCCTGTATTTTTATTTGCTAAATCTGACAACCCAAAATACATTACTAGGTGAAAAAAGCAGGTTGCCAAAAGTGATGTTTAGATTGATCCCATAAATGTAAATAAAAATTAATCTATACATAAACACGCTTGCTTAGACACAGACAGACACTCATAGATAAAAAGGCTCTGGAAGACTTTACCAGAACTAGTACCTCTTGGGTTTAGGAAACAGAAGGGAGGGGAGCTTTTACTTTTCACTTCACGCACTTCTATGTTATTTATTTATTTTTTAAGCATGAGTGTATTTTATGACAAAGTAATTTAAAAGATGTAATGAGGGGTGCCTGGCTGGCTCAATCAGGGGAGCAGGCGACTCTTGGTCTCAGGGTCGTGAGTTTGAGCCCCATGTTGGGTGTGGCGATCACTTAAATAAATAAACTTAAAAAAAATGTAATGAATGTAATGTGGGTGAAAATACTGATGAAATAAGTGAAAAAGCAAAATGTATAGCTGTATATACAGTATAATCACATCTGTAATTATTAAAAACCCTATGTAGGAACATAAACTAAAAAAAGTTGATGGTTCTAGACACAGTTCTAGGGGCTTCCATGTATAACGTCAGTCCACTCAAAAGGTAGGTGTGTGACTCTGCTGTTTGATTTGCTTCCCATCATTTAGATCACTTCCAATTTACCTGGGGAGAGGGGAAAATTGGAAGTTCACAGAAACGAGAGGGTCTCCTAGGCAAGGCTTTGAGCTGTGAGTTTTTGGAGCAAGTTCAGGGTGACATTATGTGTTTGGTGAGTGCTCTGTTTGTACCATGGTACTACCAAGCATTCCTGAGAGCTAAATGTTCTCTGAAGAGTTGGAAAACTTGGAAAGCTCTTGACACCATTTTATTTTATTTTTTCATTAAGTTTTTTTATTTTAATTCCAGTATTGTTAATACACAGTGTTATATTAGTTGCAGGTATACAATACAGTCATTAAACAATTCTATTCTTTTCTCAGTGCTCACCATGATAAGTGTACTCTTAATCTCCATCACCTGTTTCACCCATCCCCCCACCCATTTCCCCTCTGGTAACCATCTATTTGTTCTCCATAGTTAAGAGTCTGTTTCTTGGTTTTTCTCTCTCTCTCATTATTTCCCTTTGCTCATTTGTTTTGTTTCTTAAATTCCGCAGATGAGTGAAATCATATGGTATTTGTCTTTCTCTGACTGACTTATTTCTCTTAACATTATACTCTCTAGCTCCATCCATGTTGTTGCAAATGGCAAGATTTCATTCTTTTTATGGCTGAGTAATATTCCATTGTGTGTGTGTATATATATATATTTTGTGTGTGTGTGTATAGATATATATACACACACACCATGTTTTTATCCATTCATCTATCAGTGGACACTTGGGCTGTCTCCATAGTTTGGCTATTGTAAATAATGCTGCAATAAACATGGGGTGCATGTATCCCTCTGAATTAGTGTTTTTGTATTTTGGGGGTAAATACCCAATAGTGTGATTACCGAATTGTAGGGTAGTTCTATGTTTAACTTTTTGAGGAAACTCCATACTGTTTTCCACAGTGGCTGCACCAGTTTGCACTCCCACCAACAATGCAAAAGGATTCCTTTTTCTCCACAGCCCCATCAACACTATTTCAACCATTCTGACAGGGGTGAGGTGATATCTCATTGTGGTTTTGATTTGCATTTCTCTCATGATGAGTGATGCTGAGCATCTTTTCATATGTCTGTTGGCCATCTAGATATCTTCTTTGAAGAAATGTCTGTTCATGGCTCCTGCCCATTTTTTAATGGAATTATTGGTTTTTTGGATGTTGAGTTATATCAGTTCTTTATATATTTTGGATATTAAGCCTTTATTGGATATGCCATTTGCAAGTATCTTCCCCCATTCAGGAGATTGCCTTTTAGATTTGTTGATTGTTTCCTTTGCTGTACAGAAGATTTTATTTTGATGTAGTCCCAATAGTTTACTTCTGCTTTTGTTTTCCTTGCTTCAGGAGACATATCTAGAAAGATGTTATTATGGCCAATGTCAGAAAAATTACTGCCTGTGTACTCTTCTAGGATTTTTATGGTTTCAGGTCTTGCATTTAGGTCTTTCATCCATTTTGAATTTCTTTTTGTGTATGGTGTAAGAAACAGGTCCGGTTTTATTCTTTTGCATGTAGCTGTCCTGTTTTCCCAGCATCATTTGTTGAAGAGACTTTTTCTCATTGTGCTTTCTTTCCTCCTTTGTCGAAGATTAATTGATCATATAATTGTGGGTTTATTTCTGGGCTCTCTATTCTGTTCTATTGATCCATGTGTCTATTTTTTGCCAGTACCACACGGTTTTGATTACTACAGCTTTGTAATATAACTTGAAGTCTGGAATTGTGATAGCTCCAGTTTTGTTTTTCTTTTTCAAGCTTTGGCTTGGCTTTGGCTATTTGGGGTCTTCTCCGGTTCCATACAAATTTTAGGATTGTTCACTCTAGGTCTATGAAAAGTGCTGTTGGTATTTTGATAGGGATTGCATTAAATGTGTAGATTGGTTTGGGTAGTATAGACATTTTAACAATATTTATTCTTCAAACCCAGCAGTATAGAATGTCTTTCCATTTTTTTGTGCTATCTTCAATTTCTTTCATCAATGTTTTATAGTTTTCAGAATATAGGTCTTTCACCTCTTTGGTTAAGTTTATTCCTGGTATTTTACTATTATTGGTGCAATTGTAAATGGGATTGTTTTCTTAATTTCACTCTCTGCTGCTTCATTATTAGTGTATAGAAATGCAACAGATTTCTGTACATTTATTCTATATCCTGCAACTTTACTGAATTCATTTATAATTCATATATATAGTCATATATATATAAATCATATATATTCCAGCAGTTTTTTGTGGAGTCTTTAGGGTTTTCTCCTTAACACCAGTTCAAAGGCCTGTGGTTTACTATGAAAATGTTTTAAATTGTGTTCCTAAGATACCAAGGGCTTTGTTAAATATAGGAAGCATCGCATAAAACCAGAACAGATGCATCAGGCTGTATCTGATACTGGCAATGTTACATGTTTAACTTAATCTCTATAGATGCCACATAGCTATGAACTTGACCAAATGAGCTTTTTGGTAAAAATCATGCCTTAAAACTTTTCCAATCTGTATGTTTTTCATCCTCCTTGATAACATACTTTCATTTTTTGAATCCTCCAGCCTCCTGCCCCTCAAAACAGGTTGTCAGGCAGACCATTTGTTCCCTTTGATTCTATTTTTAGAGTGGCTTTCCTTTGGGCAGGGTCATTAGAGCAGCTGCAAGGCTGACGTCTGTTCATCTGTGGCAAGAAAAAGACAAGACCTTCACAAACGAGGGGACACCAACACCCTTCCCGAGCCACAGCAAGCACAGCTCTAAGCAGGCAAGCCCTGCTGATCAAGAGATGTAGGGTCCTTTTCTCCTGACCCAGTTGGTGCCGGATTGAGGGATATTTATAATAAGTGTGTGGGCATAAACAAGGAAGAGGACTAATTTATAGCAGTTAACATTAAAAATTACTTTTTAGGCTACATCATCAGAAAGTATTAAAGACTAGAAGGGAAGAATTAACGTATGCCTTTGCTAGGTTGAGTCAAGGAGGAGTCAAATATATGTTCTGCTCTCAGGGAGTGAAGAGGTTGAGACACAGGGTAGCAAGTGATGAATTTTATATTTAACCCCTAATATTTTTGCATGCCAATCATGTGCCGGCACTCTCCTAAGCACCTGAGCCCATATTAGCTTATCTTCCCAACCACTCTGTGAAGTAGGTTGCTGGGAAAAACAGACAAGAACAGCAAGAATCAAGCAATTACCAGGAGATTGAGTGACATTAAAAATGTGAAATTTCATATCTTCATTTCCCAGCCATAGGCTACGTAAACTAATTCTAAATACCAGCTAGATGGAAGCTCAGGGGAAAGGAGGACATGTGTCCACTTGCTGGGTCTCCCGTAACCTACCTTGCTCCTTTCTCCTGCCAACAGCAGCCCCAGCAGGCTGCCTGTGCCCCTGTGCTCTGCCCACAGGATCCAAGACCGTTCTGGGCACTTTCCCCGAATGGCCATGAGCAGCGTGTCGGTCGACGTTTCTGAGATGAGGGACAGAAGTAAAGGGTCAGTCTGGAGCCACAGAAGCAGGTAGCCAGTGAAGGTTGCTTCATAAGAGGTTAACATGTTTAACGCCAAGTCAAAGTCCACGGTAAGCTATTTTTACCCCTGGCTACCTCAGAAGAACCTTATTTGTGCCCAGAGAGTAACTCAGGCATGGAGAATCTGGCTCACATAACGTGGCCTCAAATTGTATTAAAATGCTTTCAACGCATGAATGGCTTTAGGGCAGAGTTGTCGAATAATGAGCCCATCCATAGGCCTCCTCTCTGTGGATGGTATTGTTTTTAGATTTTGCTTCCCAGGTAAAGCTGAGCAATAAATTAGGGGCAGAGACCCTGCCTCTGGTCCCCGGTATCCCCCAAGGCACGTGACAGCGCTGGGACACACCGTGCAAGTTCAATACATCTTGGCTGAATTTATCACTGAGACATAAATGTTAATTCATTATGATGTGTCCTCGTGTTATAAGGGGAATCAAAGACGCTAGCATAGAGGATGTATTCCATTTTTCCTGGTTGGCAGGCAGAGAGTGAAAATTTCCCTTTACACTCTCCCTTCACACTTTCCCCTCCCCCTGGAGCCCACCATCCGTTCTGGAATATCATCATTCATGCAGGGTTACCCCCAGCGAGCCTTTTTAGACAGTGTTTTGTCATGAACTATAAGTAGCAGTGATCCAAAAGAGAGATTAGGGATGACTTTACTCCTCATCCCTTCCCTCAACATGAGTGGTACTGTACAGAAACACGGTGCTTGCTCGTACAGCTGAAGAACACCCCAAACAAGTGCTTTTTCAAGTCATTCACCCAGCCTATGGACATTACCCACCAGCACCACCACATCCATCATTCACGAAGGATCTGTTGAGCAGCCTGCGTGGGCAAGCAATTGTGGGAGGCACAGGATGAATAAAATGCAGACATTTCACCAGAGGACTTACAAATAAGCAGGGGAAATAAAACACACAATTGTAATACAAAGCAGGAAGTGATAAAGTGCTGAAAGAAAGATACACGGTGACAGAGGATAGGGCATAGGAGTTCTTGCAAGAGAACAATCCCTGTGCCTGGGAGTTGAGGGGAAGAATGCCTTAAAGGCACTTGAGCCAGGCCAAAGCAAAAGGTAGAACTTAGCCCTGTGTAGTCAGGACCTAGCAGGGAACAGCAGAAGTTGAGGCACAAGGTCGGGAATTGCATGGATGTGGTCAGGAAATAGTGAGCGAGGAATGCGGTGTCATCAGCATGAGGGTCCATCAAGGGGAAGAAGTGGAAATTAAAGTTAGACTCCTGGCAGATCAGGAACCATGTCAGATTACAGGCTACACAGTTAGCCTTACTCCAGGGGCCAGTGTTTGGTGCTTAGCGGTGGCATTCAGGCTGCATTTGAAGAAGTCTGGACCACCGCGGGCGCTCCCGGGAGGCAGCTGCGTGAACCTGGCTCTGGGCGCTTCCCACGTGGAGCCAGAGGGCAGGGGAGCTTCAGGGCACAGCGCAGAGTGGGGAAGGGTAGAGTGACATCTGGCAGGGCACATGGAAGATGTCCAGCCCAGCAGATCCTGTAGCTCTATGTCACAGATGAGCAAATGGAGGCATGAGAGACCACCTTATCTAACGCTGAGTACACTGTCAACGACCAGAGGCAGGATTTGAACTCAGGTACATCTGACTTCAAAGCTGGTGTTCTTGAATTGTCTTAGCCTTGACCTCCTTGCAGAAGTATTGACATCCATTTGACAGCACAGACATGCAGTTTAATTCCCATGGCACCTGCTCCATTTCAGCAACCAACCTTTGGGTCATGGTGGCGGGGGATCCAGAGTGTTGGAGAATGCTACTGTAAAGTGACAGGCTGGGTCCCAGGCTTGGTACAGAAAAAAGAGAATCCAGAAAGGTGCCAAGCATCTTTAAAATTAATGAAGGGTCTAGGAACCAGAAGATGAAAAAAAGAAATAATAATTATAATAATTGCATTTTGGTAAGTGCTAGTCAATATTGAAACACTTTACTTATGTTATCTGAATTTTCACAGCAGCTCATTGAAATGGGTATGATTTAATATCGTCCCTGGCACAGAGAGGTTCATTAACTTGCCTAAGTTCACACAGCCAAGAGAGTGGCAGAGGCAGGATACAAAGCCGGGTATTTCCGACTTTAGAGTCTGTGCACAGACCCCTCACAAACCGTCTCTGAAAAATGTCAAGTAATCCTAAAGAAAAGACATAGACTCCCTAAAAATGAAATAAGACTCTTTAGGATTTTGGAGGTTTGTGCTTACTGCAAAATCACGTATCCCATAGCTATCTAGAGATGGCTTTTTCCAAGGTAACCATTCATTCTTTATGTCTCGTCAGTTTGCTTCCTTTCACTTTGCCTCCACAAACATACCCCAGACACTGTTGTTAGTTCTGGCCACTGTTCAAACTCACCTGTCTCCTGTTCCTGGAACCGAGCAGTCATGCTCCTGGCACTTTGGGGCTAGCAGCAAAAAGACTGAGTTTCTTGAAGCAGGAATTTCAGGGTCCACTTAGACGTGCCCCGCCCCGCCCCCAGTCTTCAATAACAGCATTTTCCTCCCAGTGGCTTCAAAACTTTGAATCTGGAAAATTTCATCTCTCATGGCATCTCTCTATTGTGGATGGGGACAGTCAACCCTGAGGCATACCTGGCTCTTAGTTCTTATTCGTATCAGCTCATTTATCCCCAGAAATAACCTGATGAGATGATACTATTGTTATCTCCAATTCACAGGTAAGGAAACAGGTTCCGGGAAGTTACTTTATCTCTTGTTCCCCGCTCACGGAAATGTTGGAAGCAGGTAGAATCTCTGTGAGTTGAGTTAGGGCTCATTACGGTTTACTGGAGCCCTGGGAAGTCCCATGATGCTGAATATTAACATGATCGTATCTCTGCATGGGGGATGGTTGGTAGCCCTCACTCTTGGTGACGCCAAAATGCGTGGAACCACATTTAAATCACTTTACAAAGTCCCAGTCGTAGACCTAATGGTTTATGATCACAGTTTATAATACGCGGCCCTGTATTATATGAGACGGGAAAACTGACCCATATCATTTGGATCAGCAGCACAGTGCCTAGCCTGCCGTGATGCAAAACCACGTAACCTAAGACGGTCACCCCAGATGGGCAGTGATTTGTGGCTCCTGAACAGTAGCTTCAGTAGCAAGATCCACAAGCCACCGTGTGGTTGAGATTTGGCTTTTATTAAATCTCCACGTTCTTAGCAAATGGCCTTATCCTATCTGGAATCAACTCAGATATTGACCAAAATAACAATGTTTCATTTTTATCTTTACTTTGTTATGGACAGAGGCAGAAACAAATCTATTCAGATAAACTGATTTACAAAGTCAGATTTAAGAAAAGTTGAAAAGAAGTAACAACCTCCCATCCTTGAAATTCTCCTTCATGCAAAGTTAAATAACACTGTCTTACTGCCCTCATCTGATTATTTCTTTAGTATACGTTCCTGGAAGGAGTACTGTTGTGTCAAAGGATATGTTAGGAAGGCTTATGCAGTTGACATAAGCCTTTGAACAACAGGCTTGAAATGTGCAGGTCCACTTACAAGCAGATTTTTTACAGCACTGAAAATGTATTTTCTCTTCCTTATGGTTTTATTAATAACATTTTCTTTTCTCTAGCTTACTCTATTGTAAGAATACAGTATATAACGGACAGAAACCGTACAAAATATGTGTTAATTGACTGTTTTTGTGATTGGTAAGGCTTCCGATCAGCAGAAGGCTATTAGTAGTTAAGTTGTTGGGGAGTCAAAAGTTATACTGGATTTTCCACTGTCGGGGTGGCGGGCGCTCCTCACCCGCAGTGTGCAGGGGTCAACTGTAATACAGTTCACCAAACTGTCCTCCAGAAAGGTGTCTCCCGGCATTTCAGAAGAGCTCTGCTTTCCCACCCTCACCCGTGCTGGTATTATCCAGATGTTTTTGAATTTTGCCCCTGGAACATGTTCAAATTCTGCTTGGTCTATTTTTCTTTACTCAGCAGGTCTGCAATGCACACAATTGAGCCCCGCCTACCACTCTGATTCTATTCACACTAGCTCATCACAGCTCAGCTCCAGCTACAGGGGTCTCCTTGCATTTCCTTCAGAGTTTCCTGTCTCCACACCATCTTTGCACATGCTGCTCCCTCCTCCTGGAATCTCTTTCCCCAGGCTCTGCCTGGCGGTCTTGTACTTTTCCTTCAGCTCTGCACTTGACCATCTCTTTCTCAGGAATGCCATCCCTCTTTCTCACATGAAGATCAGACCTGTGTGAAGCGCCCTTCAAAGTACCTCTCGGGTGAAACTTAACCACTCTGTGATTTACTTATTAAGGTTTTATCTCCACGACTAAATTGTAGCTCTGTGAATCCATAGTGTTCTGTTATTGTTGTTACCTGTTGTCTTCTTAGCCTGTAAGTGCCTAGGGCATGCTAGACACCCAACAAATAATACTTGAATAAATGAATTAATGAATATTAACAAACAAATAGAATTTACCTTCAAGCTGCTGTTACACAGGGAGTATAAGTTAAACCTCACTAAATAGACTGATTGATGAAACCCTGAAGAGTCTTCTTAGCTCTCAGAGATTTTTTTCGTTTATAATCAGATGAGGGCACTCCCTTTAATTACTTGGAACCTTTCTGATTCCTCTCACTATATCCCTCCTTGACATTAATACCTAGACCCCATCCCCCAAATTTTTCCATTGCCCTTTGCTCTGTAACCCAACCATGGACTTCCTTCCTAACACAATGAAAAATCCTGGGATCGCACTCCAGTGACCAGGGATGACCTCTTTCCAGAGTATTTGACCGTCTTCCTGGCTCAGATATAATGTCATAGCCCGGAGTCCAAATAAAGAAGACAATGGTCCGTGTGTAGACTGGTGAGTACTAGCACTAGCCAACAAACCAGCCCTCTCTTCTCCCCATCTCCTAAGTGATTTTCTGCCTGAGCAGTCACTTATTTGTCAAACCCTGAGCATGGCTTCTGTAGAAAAAGAAGATAACTTAGATTTAGAAACAACCCAATGGCTTTTTCCATCATTTCTCCTATCAGAGTATCATGGCATCTCTCTATTGTGTACTCAACACTGGACCACAATTCCAGCTCATTATATATTTGGTATAACCCAAGAACCAACCAGATTCAGGGGTTTATGTCAGGGGACTCAAACTTACTGCCCCTAGGTTGAATCCAACCCCATAAAAAGCTTATGTTTGTCCAGAACAGTGTGTAATCAAATGTGAATGTCTGCAGGCAGGGCATGTCCTCTCTAGCCTGTCATGGCACCTCCACATTAATGCTGTCCTACAGAGCAGCAGGCACCCCCTTCTCACGCACACTGCCCATCAGGGAGCCCCCGGGATAGAACGCAGCAGATTATACTAATTTTCCCACTGCTGATAACAATGACTACTCTTCCCACACGTTTTCCTTTATTTGTTATTGTGAGATCTTTTTACCTCTCCCTTTATTTTAAGAGGTCTTTATAATATTTTCTTTCTAGTCTTTCCTCCCACCTTTCATCATACATCCCCTTTCTACTGTTTACTTGGCCACAAAATCCAATTATTTTGGAACCTGGCCCTGCCCATGGTTTTTGTAGAGAGGGCGCCAGCTTGAATCATGAGATGAGGCTTTATTCTGGACTCTGTCCCTGATAACCTATGTGATGTTGGACAAGTCACCTTGGACCCCCAGCCCCCACATGCCCATCCCAAAGTGAAGAAACAGGAATAGATGACCTCACTTTCCTATCCACTGTCACATGTTACACTTCTGTGATTTTTTTTTGGGGGGGGGGGTCACAATCCAAATAGAAAATGTCAGGAGAAGAGTAACATTCACTTCATTTACTCAACAATTATTAGTTGAACAATGAGTAAGTACTGGGGATAGAGTGGTGAGTAATACAGATGAAGTCACTGCCTCTGCTAGAGGGAGGGATAAGCAAATAAACAAGATTGTCAGATTGCGGTACATGCTATAAAGGGAATGAAGCATGGTCACTTCATAAAGAGCCACTGAGTCGTGACTAAGGAGGCCAGGGAGAGCATCTCTAAGGAGATGACATCTGAGCTGTGACCTGAGAGAGAGGAAGTGGTGAGCCACCGAGGAACCTTCAAGGCAGAGGGAACAGCAAGCGCAAAGGCAACAAGGCACATTTGAGTTCGATGTGTCTGAAGAGTCCCAAGCAAAGGGATCAAAGGTACAAGAAAAGCAGAGGGAAGGAGAGGTCAGGTCATGAAGGGCCTTGCAGGCTCGGATGAGCGGGATGCTCTGACGGGTTGTAAGCAGCGCCGTGTCAAGGCTGCTGAGTGGGGTGTGAGTGGGAGGCTTGTCAGCACCCCAGGAGCTGCCTGGGGTCGTGCAGGTGGAGAAAGAAGCAAATCTGGTTCTGTTTTGGAGGAGGGCCGGGCAGGACTTGCTGACAGGCTGCAGGGATGCAGGTGGGCAGCGGGAATTCAAAATCACCCTTGGAATTTGGATTGAGGGGCTGACTGGACACTGTGTCACAGAGCTGGTGGTTAGGAGATCCCCAGTCACAAGCATGAAGTCCAACAACCCTTCCAGTCTTCTCCTAACATCTCCCTGCTCACCTTATAGACACCAGTTAAGACAGCTTTGTTCTTCCATTCAGCACATAGTTATTAATTACCTACTACAGGCTACTTTTAAAGTAACATGGCTGTTTGGTTAATTTTAGTATGGTTGGTTTAAACAGCTTAAATTGGAGCCCACTTAATCAGTAGTCTAAGTTACCGATGAAATGAATTCTTTTCTTAGCATTGGCAAGCTATTTGCAACCAAGGAAGATGCCTCAGCTTCGTACCAGCTGAGAGAAAATAGTTTTGGTTCTCAATTTGTAATATTCTAGAAATTCACGGGAGA